TACATGAGATGAAAACCGTTTGTATCCTTCTGTATTTTCTTAAACGTTACGTTTCTGCATTAGGCCTACATGAGATGAAAACCGTTTGTATCCTTCTATACTTTCTTGAACGTTACGTTTCTGCATTAGGCCTACATGAGATGAAAACCATTTGTATCCTTCTATATTTTCTTGAACGTTATGTTTCTGCATTAGGCCTACATGAGATGAAAACCGTTTGTATCCTTCTATACTTTCTTAGACGTTACGTTTCCGCACTAGGCCTAAATGAAAACCGTTTGTATCCTTCTATACTTTCTTGAACGTTACGTTTCTGCATTAGGCCTACATCAAATGAAATCCGTTCGTATCCTTCTATACTTTCATCAACGTTACGTTTCCGCTCTAGGCCTACACCAAATGAAACCGTTCGTATCCTTCCATACTTTCTTGAATGTTACGTTTCCGCACTATGCCTATATGAGATGAAAACTTTTCGTATCCTTCTATACTTACTTCAACGTTACGTTTCCGCACTTGGCCTAGATCATATGAAAACCGTTCGTATTCTTCTATACTTTCTTGAACGTTTCGTTTCCGCACTAGGCCTACATGAGATGAAAACTGTTTGTATCCTTCTATACTTTCTTAAACGTTACGTTTCCGCACTAGGCCTAAATGAAAACCGTTTGTATCCTTCTATACTCACTTGAACGTTACGTTTACGCGCTAGGTCTACATCAAATGAAATCCGTTCGTATCCTTCCATACTTTCTTGAATGTTACGTTTCCGCACTATGCCTATATGAGATGAAAAATTTTCGTATCCTTCTATACTTACTTCAACGTTACGTTTCCGCACTTGGCCTACATCAAATGAAAACCGTTTGTATCCTTCTATACTTTCTTGAATGTTACGTTTCTGCATTAGGCCTACATAAGATGAAAACCGTTTGTTTCCTTCTATACTTTCTTAAACGTTACGTTTTCGCACTAGGCCTACATCAAATGAAAATCGTTTGTATCCTTCTATACTTTCTTGAACGTTACGTTTCTGCACTAGACCTACATAAGATGAAAACCGTTTGTTTCCTTCTATACTTTCTTAAACGTTACGTTTCCGCACTAGGCCTAAATGAAAACCGTTTGTATCCTTCTATACTCACTTGAACGTTACGTTTCCGCACTAGGCCTAAATGAAAACCGTTTGTATCCTTCTATACTCACTTGAACGTTACGTTTCCGTCCTAGGCCTAAATGAAAACCGTTTGTATCCTTCTATACTCACTTGAACGTTACGTTTCCGCACTAGGCCTACACCAAATGAAAACCGTTCGTATCCTTCTATACTTTCATCAACGTTACGTTTCCGTCCTAGGCCTACATCAAATGAAAATCATATCCTTCCACACTTTCTTGAACGTTACGTTTCTGCATTAGGCCTACATAAGATGAAAACCGTTCTTATCATTTTATACGTACATGAATGTTACGTTCCCACACTAGGCCTACATCAGATGAAAACTGTTTGTATCACTCCTTTTACAACTTCGCAGCCGAATCTTTATACACCAACGTTTCCATTAATGAAACCATCGCGCTCACATGCTCGAAGACTGAGGAATATTGCAGTAAGTTAAACACCTATGCTGGTAGATTCATTTCACTCAGCGGAATGCATTGCTTTATCTTTTACATACTTCCGCTTATGTATTCTTTTTTTAAACCCTTAACAATCATTTACACTTGATAATTAACCCCTAACATGATACTGATTTACACATTCACATTTTGATATTCTTGTTTAGAATTATAGATTTTAACCACATACGCTGACAATCAAATCATAAGGTTTCAAACAGTTGTAATATTGAATGTCTAGGTTTTTATCAACTTATTTGGAGCTAAAACATATAAACTGTTCCTAAATTTGTCTTGAAAAATAGACAATAACGAAACCACCAAAAGACTTGAAAATAGTTAAATATTCTACAATCTATAGACTAATATATGAAAATTAACTCAAACTGATAAAGGTATTCGAAAGTCATGTAATGTTTATAATTATGTTTGGTTATTTTCAGCTTTTTTTGGAGAGCAGATAAATAGGAAACCAAACAGAAAACCTAAATAACTACATTATTGTGTTTGAGAAACAGCCGTAAACTATTTGTTTGTTTAACTTCGCGTGGCCACTCGAGGGTTATCTGCGCTATCTATTTCTAATTGAGAAGTGATAGATTAAAGGGAAAAGAGCCAGCTAGTTAACATCACCCATCGCCATCTCTTGGGCTACTCTTTTAGAAACGAAAAGTGGGATTGACCGTGATATAACGCCTCCACAGCTGAAAGGGCGGGCATGTTCGGTGATGGTATTCGAATAAACAACTCTCATATTGAGAGACGAACGCCTTAGCAATCAAAATATGCCAAGTCCCTTCAGGCCACCACAGATAGCCGAGGGATTATCATGTAAATCTACTCCAGGCCACCACAGATAGCCGAGGGATTATCGTGTAAATCTCCTCCATGCCACCACAGATAACCAAGGGATTATTATGTAAATCTCCTCCAGCCACCACAGATAACCAAGGGATTACTATGTAAATCTCCTCCAGGCCACCACAGATAGCCGAGGGATTATCGTGTAAATCTCCTCCATGCCACCACAGATAGCCAATGGATTATTGTGTAAATCCTACATTTTTGTACAGTCGAAAGTTTTTCTTTTCCTACCTGCGTGGAGCATAGGTGTTAGACCGAAGAGTGGGATTTGACTATTACTCTTGTAACGCACTCACGACCACAAAGTAAGGAGTGCGATTTTGTTTTGGCGATAACAGGACGGGAACCATGGTTCCTGAGGTCCACAGTCCAACACACCAATCACTGTTATCTTGATTTTTTTCCTGTTTAATCGTACGTCTCACTAAAATGGGAATGCTTGTTTGTGATTAAGCAGAAAGCTACAAAATGGGCTATCTGTGCTCAGCCCACCATGAGTATCGAAAACCGGTTTCTAGCGTTGTAAGTTCGTAAACATATCGCTGTGCCACTGGGGGGGGGGGGCAAAATGTGAACACAGTTCTTCACATGAACAGTTGACAGTGATGTGATCGTTTGTATCTGTGACAAACCCACTTTCCTACTTTCTACGCGGCCCGAATGGAGCTTCATTACATTCAGAAATAAATATTAATAAGTTTGTTAAAATAATTTCTAAATGTAATGAAACTCCTTTCGGGCCGCGTCGCATGTTGCATGGTAATTGAATTTGCTTGTTGAAATTCACTTAAAGCCACTCGAAAGGTATCCGCGCTAGTTGTCCCTAACTTAGAAATGATAGGCTAGCGGCAAGGCAGCTAGTAAACACCACCGACCGCCAACTCTTGGGCAACTCTTTACCGACGAATAGTGGGATTTACTGCCACATTATAATACTCCAATGGCCGAAAGAACAAGCATGTTTGGTGACGGAGTTCGATCCTGTGACCTGCAGATTGAGAGCCTAGCACCCTAGCCTCCAGGCCATGCCAAGCCAGCAAGGCTCATGTGTAATGATTATAACAGCATACCTTCGGGACGTATTCTTAAACTTGATCTCAAATTAATATTTTACTTACTGAAACCAAGAGTAAGTGAGTAATATTAATACTACCGAAAGAGTAGGCCTAATACTATCATATTAAAGTGTTCTCCAATGTTACACTTCACTATGCTGCAGTACACCACGAAGATCAACACATTCGCTGATTGTCTTACTTAATAAATCTAGTGGGTGTTCTAGCGCGAGTTAATGAAACCAAAAATTCGATATTAATTAGTAAAAAAATGAATAAGTAGAGAGCAACAGAATTGTGTTTACATTTACGAAAAATGGAAAATTACCAAAGGTTTCGAAGAACAATATAACGATATCGACTAAAACATCAACGACACCGTGTGCAGTCACCACATTAGACATTTAGGCTAAACCTAAAATTTAGGTTACTGTCAAGCAGCCCGTGACTCTTTAAGTCACCAAAAAATAGTTTACTTGGCGACTAGTTATGAATTAAATGATTGGACATACGTAATCTATCGATTGTTTCAACACGCTCTGATTGGATATGCTTGATCTATCAATTGTTCAAACGTGCTCTGGTTGGATATTCTTTGTCTATCGAATGTTCCACACGCTCTCTCGAAATTATTTATTTTAATTCAGTGAGAATATTATTCTAAAGAAAATGAAACGCAGACTAAATGCACTGCCCCTAACTCAGATATTTGAATATTACCGAGGTACGTACCAATAATTTAACTAATGCAGTTTTTCTAACAACGTTCTTTGAAGGTCCAGTTGTTCCAATATTATCGTTTTGGAAGACATGGATGTGATAGTAGCTTTAACGTTTTTTAAACTGGCTTTCATTATCGATAAAATAGATTAAGATTCTTGTTAGTGACGAAAAGATTTGAAAAGATTACAACTTAATCGCTCCTTCTTGGAACTGTTACAAGTTCTATCGGTCACAGATAAGACTAAAGAACGAACTCATTTTCTTAACCCTAAAGATAACGTAATTGGAATCTCATTTTATTAAATGGATCGCTCTTTCTTGTGTCTAACGAAGAACTGAACAAGTGAGCTTGGAAAGTTTTTCTGAAAAATGACTTGTAGTTTACAAAACTGTCATAACTTTACAAAAGCTTAAATTTATAGCTATTATTTTGTGAAAATTTTCTGACTTAAAATAGATAAATCTAAGATACACTAGCACTTTTTTTTACCTCACTAGTGATTTAATTTTGACCGTAGCGCCACCTAGTAGTAGAAGGCATTCTTACTTCTTGGGAATTTTTAATTCGTGAAAAGAACACATATATATAAGTTACCTATTTGAATCGAAGCATTACTGTCCTCGTTCTGAAGTTGTATTGTTTTCAGTTTATGTTAGCCACAGACCTCGTGCTGAAGTTATCTTGTTTTCAGTTTATGTTAATCACAAAATTTTATACATGAAATGAACATTTAAAAACTATAGAATTTTTACGGACACTCCCATCTCGATGTAACAGTTTTATCAGATTATTTCCTCAGGCTGATTCTAGAGTCACAAAAGTCTCCAAGAAAACCTATGTAATTGAAAAAAAAAAGAAAGAAATAAAACTTATTTTCGTTCGCCATTTTTATTTTTTCAGTTTTTAAACAACGATAAGAACAACAATTTACTTCTTCATCAAGTTTCAGATTAGTTGATTTACAACTTTACTTAGTTTTTGTCCAGCTGTTTTCTTGACCTTAAGTAGTTTGAAGAGAATAACAAGAAGTACAGAAGAATTGTGTCAGTGTTTTGAAAATTAGTTCGTTTCGGTTTACTCTTCTTTCAAAACAATAACAACGAAATGAATCGCAAAATGAAGAAAAAACTCAAAATCCATAAAACAGAAAAAAAACCAAAAACAAATTAGTATTTTCATTCTTACACTAGATGACCTACAATTTAACATAAAAGTCACGTGCATTGTTGTTTTAGTGTATTTGATTCAACATTCTATCACGGTAATGGACAGTATTTTTTTTTTTGCTAGATTTCTCAACTAAATAGAAAAAAAATAAAAAATAAACCAAAAATATTCTAATAGCGTGCCCAGGAAAAAGCCTTTTACCATGTACAAATCTTTATCAGGAAACAGCCTGCCAACAGCCATTTTGGGAAATACGAAACTGTCTCGAAACAAACGGGATTCTTCCGAGACTAATAGTCCAATCGTGATTTATTTTTTTTTACTGTAACATAAGTATGGTCCCGCACCATTATGGTTCCTTTCTTGTCGTTCATATATGTTGCATGTACATAACGGTCATTGTTTTCTGTCACTTTTTTGTGTGTGCAGAATATTAATTCTTCCTAAAAGTCACGTTAATTAAACAACGTGTTGCTTTTTTC